AGAAAAAGAAAGAAAAAAATTTCTATTTTAGTTTTTAAAATTAATATCTTTTATTAATATTAAGTTTATGTTAAATAAAGTAATTTAATAATATTTTTTAAATAAGGTGGATTTATTTAAATAAAATTAGAATAATATTTTTAATTTTAAAATGCTACAAAGTTTACTTATTTATTTATTAGATGGAAAATTTTGAAAATATTCTGGATTCTTGATTTTAGATTGTTTATTTATTTAGCAAAATCTTAGCACCATTTTTAATGGATAATTTTTTTAAGCCTAGTATAATTTTTAATAGTAAAGAAATTTTGAAAAATCTAAGAAAGTGTAAAAAATCTTATGCAATCTTTTCTTCAAAAATTAAATCATTTATATTAATCCTATTTTTTCATCTAATTATATAGAAAATAGATTATATAATAAATTTATTTAAATATTATATAAGCAAGCTAGTTTTTTTGTATTAATTATTTGAATAAAAAAAATTATATAATATTTTTTTCTTTTTTAAATTACATAAATTATATTGTGTCTAAGTCTAAATTCCTTGAAAATTCAATTTTGGTATTAAATATTAACATTACACTTAAATTATTTTAACTTAGTCATAAAATATTAATGCTATTATATTGATAATTTCTTATAGGAATTGTGAAGTTATAATATCTTATCAAATACTTAATTTTTTTGTATTATATTTATTTAGTTAATAAAAAATAATTAATCTCATGTTGTTTATATCTTTTATGGTAAATAATTTTTTTATAATAATTTTTTAGAAATATTTTTATATTGTAAAAAATTAATTATTTATGCTTAATTAATTTTTTATTTATATAGACTTCAATTTTATTATCATCATGATTTATCCTTATTGTCATTATATTATTATAATTTATTATTAATTTCTAATTTTAGTTTCAAAATTTTTATTATTTTTTATTATATTTATTTTTTATTAAATATTTAAAAATAATATCTAATTATTTATTAAATAAATTAAAGAATAGATAATAATTTATGAATATTAATATATTAGAATTAGAATGACCTTATTATTAAGAATCAGATAATCAATAGTCATAAATTGCTCTAAATAAGTAGTAAAGTTGTGTATATGCTTTTTAATATTTTTCTTCTTATATTTTTTTAAAATAAATAAATAAATTATAAATATATATGTGTTTAAAGATTATTAGACTTAAATTATTTAATTAAATATGACTCAATTTGATTTGATGTTGAACCTAATTAAATATTATTTTGATATAATTTTTAATCAAAATTAATCTTATTACCTTTTCATGTAAATATTGCTTAATATTATATGATTCTTTGGTAGATAAAGCTAGAAATTATAAAGTGTCCTAAGTTAAATTTCATCACTAATTCCTATATTCCAAAAACCACATATTTAAAAACACAAAATACAAAGATTGAATATGTGGCATGGGCTGAGTCTTTCCCATACTCTTGAGCTTTAGTAAAATTCTTCAACCAAAAATAAGCCAAAGTAGAAGGCTACAGTTCAAGGTGCACTGGTGAGTTCGGTATTGGAGCCGGTACATGCTGTAGATATCTATGAATGATATATGATCACTATAATCTGTGAAAGCTCAAAGGCTAGTAGTTGGCTTCAACGCACAATAAACGTAGAACTCGAAGTATTGAGGATGATGAGCATATATCATAAACTGCTAGTTAAAATGGACTTAATGGTAAAGTGAAAAAGAAGCCAGGAAAGAGACCTTTGAAAGTACTGTTTTTGATACTGTTTTTGGGCGAGAGTTAAGAGCTTGGGTCAGAAATTGCATCAATACTTGGGAGCTGGAACTGGAGGACAACAAAACGTGGCCTAAATGCTTCACAGCGCAGGGAACTTGACGCAGCCAAGCGTAGACCTTCATGACAACTGAAAAGTTTGCAGATTAAATCCACCGATTGTACCTTCAAGATGATGGGTACCACCTTTACCATCATGGATTTGTAAGGTGTAGTAATAGCTGTGCTTGGTCACTAAATACCAATGGGCCTGATCATGAAAATCTTCTATTATTAACAGGAGATTGACTAGGCTTTTCACCGCCTGATCTGTCTGCAACGGAAAAGAAGCATCACTCTGCTGGTATAATGTTTATGAGAAGAGACAAAATAAACTGGCCATTCATAAGACACGTCAAAAATATTGATTTAGGATTCAAGCATGAGAACTGAAAGTATACCGATTTGGATGCTCTAGTGCGCATACTTTGGAGTTAATATGGTGCTGGTGCACTTTAAAAGCTATGAATGTAAAACTGCGCCAAATGGTGCACTTTCTTTAATGGCAATGTGAAAAGAATTCGGTCAAAAATTATGCTCTTCATTAACATTGAGGAAATCATCTGCTGGTGACAACGGTGCTGAAAGGATCTTCAGCAACAGCTCCCAAGGTTGGATTAGAATTTTGCACCAAAAGGAATACGGGAAATCTCAATTGATTTACATACATTCTCAGGAAACAAGCATATCTGATGCGGCAGAGGCACTAGACATTCAGATATTCGAACCTCTTGAAACGGTATCGTGAAACCATCCACCCAGATCGAGATTCAATTGAACAAGCATGACTTGGTTGAAGTCTCAGCGACTACAATTTGCCTTAAAACTGCAGCACTGAAACAGCTGCTGCCGCACCACTAAAATGTAACAAAGGAGGCATTTATTAAGGTCGTTCAAGCATTCATACTCACATCAAGTTATTTATGGATCAACAGTAGTCGCAGAATCTTGCTCGAAAAAGCAAACATGAACAAAAAGCAAGAACTATATGGTGATAACAAGAGAAAGAAAGGTTCTTGACTGCGACTGAGAAGTTGTAGTCGGATTCTTCTTCTTTCTTTTTAACTGCGATTATGATAACTTCTTCAGCACATCAAAATGTAGTGAGAACAAGGATCGTAAACAAGGATTAAGAAAATGTATACAGAAACCGAGGGTTCTGTATTCAATTCATGACAAACCAGGTCCTCCTCACCGGCCAAAATCCTCTTTACAGACGAATGTCTCGATGTTATTCATAACATGGCACCCACGGCAATCTATATAAAACACAAGAATACTCAAGGCAGGTTTTCATCCTGCTCGCATACTGCCCAAAAACCTCCGGCACTGGAACAAAGTGCAACCCTGTCCAGCAAATATCGCTCATGGTTCAACAGACTTTGATACAGCAAGTCTAATGGTTGCTTTGCTGCAAAAAGTAGTTATTTTCAAGAAGGGTGTTCGATGACTAGGATTCAGCACCATTACATAAAACGGCACACTTACCTTCTAGAAGTTACTTGCTACCCCCAGCCTTTCAATTCACCTACGGTAAAAGTATCAGTCAACTGAAAGTATTAAATTATTCATAGGCGCGAATGTAGAACATGGAGCGTCATGGTGAGTGTGATGCCTGAGGGTCTGCTAACTGTGGAAGAATCTGTTTTGGAGATTCTCTGCGAAAAAGTTCGTTCTTGAGCTCAAGGGTACTGTGAAAAGGGAATTTTGAACTTCGAAAGAAAGTCTATTAACTTCAACTGGTCAACTGGGGTTAAAAAGTTTGCTTTAAGAACGAAGTTTATGTCAAGAGTAGCTTAAGTCTCACAACTCTTTTCGTGCACAGAAGTGAATTAGAGCTTCCGCAATTATTCTAATTCATGCTGTCATCACATGGATTTTGTGAAAAACTGGTGGTCTCCACATGGGCAACTCTTCCACTTTGAAGAACCTCTTTGTATTCAGTAATCCTTTTTATAACCCATGTTGCGAAGTTTTTCCTCCTCCTGTTCAAAAGATTTAGAAATAATTTGGTATTGAGTCAGTTGCAGTGCTTCTCTGACTACCCGCTTTGCACATCCAATTCATAGCAACTAAGCATCCTTCTAGAGGTTTGAGTTTTTGAGTGGATCAAGGTGACTAAACTTTCAGATCTAGGCCTCGCTTTGAAAATAGTACAAGATTGATGCCATTTCCTCAATTTTTCTTTCTGAGAAGCGCTTAGTTTCCTTCACGAAAGTTTCCTGCCTCTGAGGGGCTAGCAATTTCTTCCACTAGACTCTGTTGACTACAGTTGGACACAAGAATAAGTTGTTTGGAAGGTAGTTCCAGAGGGAATATACACGATATGTTAGCTCACCGTCACTTGAAGGGAGAAGCAAGTTGTGGTGTTGCTGTACTTTTGCAAAAAGAGGTGTACATTGGCGTAGGTACGTCGTGCTTCTTCACATACAGCTTCCTTTTCGTGTCTCGAGGAACTGAAAGGTTGTCACTGGGAATCCAGCGTCGTCTGATGTCCTTTCTTGTAAAGCGCAAAGTTGACCAGGCCGCCATAGCTGTATCTAGAGAAAAAAGCCCAACCCCACGTCGACTAGTCAATCGGAGTAGGATCACTTTCCCAGTCTCTGTGTCTTGTGTTCTACGTAATCCATCATTGCGGCTAAAAAGTTTATGTAGCAGAACTTCCACAATTGTTTTCGTTAGATGAAGCACCGAAAAGCAAAGAAGAATTATGGGGGCGTCTTCTTGCTTCACCTCACCTAGATCTCTCTTTTGTCTTATATTCTCCGCCAGCTTATTATCAAATTCTTCAGTTCCTAGTGCAGACCGACCGTCGTTCACACACGAGAGTTAAAACTGTTGTTTGTGCGTCTAAGTAAATAATCTGTGTCGTCTAGTGTCCGCTGATAAAATCGATTGTGGACAAGAACCGAGTCAGTTGTGAGTTGATTTTTACCCGTATTGCCATGTCAACGAGTGAGATTGTGATCCTTTAGTTGTGTCCAGTGGGTTGCTACAACAATTGGTATAAGTTGTGCTACCAGCTTAGTTCTGGACTGCGGCGATCGCTTGGAGAAGCTCCAAGAAACTGGCAACAACCACTAAGAATATCCAGCGCACTAAGTTACAGTTTTACGAGAGGATAAGAAGGAAATCATAAACCTGCCAACCTTACGTGCTTACGGGGCATGCGGGGCATCCGGGAGGTACAGTGGTGTCCTGTCCCACATTCGGTATCCGCCTATGTTAGGACGGTCAAATCTGAATGTATGTCTGCACTTTTGAAGTGTTGAAGGGGCACAGTGCTGACTCTCCCTTGGTAATTTCCTCTCCGATTAAAACCACCAAACCAGCATCATGAAGCGCATAGCGATTGCACAAGTATGAGTACACGTAGTGAAATGGTCCTTATGGCTTTAACGCTCAGCCTGCGGCGACCTCCTGTACATGTTGACTAATTTTGTCCACCCTGAAATGGAGGGAGATCACACAAAATCTGCAAGAGGATCTTGACAGGAAATTTTTGAATCATGGCACGGACTGGGAATGATTAGCAGCCTCAGTGCTGGTAAACACATGGCCGAAATGGTGTCTTCGCACTTACTCAAATTTGCTCCACCGAAAACTGTTGTTTAAGCAGGAAACCCTTTGCTCTGATTCGCTACCCCTTATTTAAACCCAATTACGAGTGGCCTGTTGCCTAATTTCGGAGTGTCTCGTGATATGCGAGATTGCGTTTCAATCTAATATCACACCGGAAACTTAGTTTTAGCAAGTAGAGATTAGAAAATTTAGATTGACCGACCATATTCTTTGTGTCAAGAATAATCTATCACGGTCTCGCGATAAAGGGATTCACTGTGTTCGTCTCTTTGAAACATTGCCCCGGTCATTCTCAAAATTGTTGTCTTCGGCACCTTTGAGATACGAATACTCTGAGGAGAATGTTTAGATGTGCACGTAGCAATTAGTTACCCTCCATTGGCCCTGCCATTCTTTTCACTGATTTCAAGCACCATTTCAGGATATTGATACCATTTTTTGACAACTTACTCGGGGACAGGGCTACAGATCTGGTCTCCGCTTGATACGATGCGTGGCTCCTTCCCAGTTCTTATGCCTGGACGGTCATGCACTGGTAGGCCGCCGCGTAACCTTGGAGATCAACATCAAGCGGCTGTAGAAACAACAATGATATGTGCATTCTCATATTTCGAACTCAGGAACATAATTGAGACTCTCTGAACTCTGAGAAAGACTTGAGAGGACACTCCTGCAACAACTGTGGCAATTCCATGCAGTTATAGCAGCATCTGCAGCGGCGGTTCTCTCTAGTCTTTCTTGGACTTTGGATGGCTTCTTCTGCAACATCGTCATCAAAGCCGATTTTTCTGTGAACAACACTAGTCTCAAGTCACTGTCCCTGAATCCAAGCTCCCCTATGTGTAAGTTTTCTCTCTTTCATTTTGCTAGTGAGGTAGTGATGCTTCTGTCAAACTTGTGCAAATGCTGATCTATTGACATGTACCTTCCTACTTATTCCTACGTAATCTGTACCAGAGTTTAATATTTTTGAGTGGTATGAAGCTAAAACATTCGGGAAATCACCAAAAACCAATAAAACCAAAGTCTACTTCATAGAGCTTCCACTTGCTTACGCATCCTCCCAACAAATTGAGCTTTCTTGAAGTTTGAATTACTCAGCTGTTCTGTTTTCATGATACGCATACTAAGATCGACAAAAATGTAGTTTGTATTTAGATATTCAGAACTCTATATTGGTACAGAGGATTCCACCTCATGGTTTAGAGTGTTTTCTGTAATCTGGTACGCTGTGTGCCACATGCAGAATAAACGCAACAGTCCGCCGAAACTCAGCACCAACACACTTTCTACACTAGTCAGCTACAAACCTTCGAAGCTGGAGGTGGTGGTGGTGGTTCTAGAACAAGTTGCAGTATTGTGCCGCAAATCCAAATCTGATACCGAACATTCATTTCCTAGACTTGACCACGTCGCCAGTCTCCTCGAGAGTCGACCCAGCAGTTGAACACACCCGATTGCAACGCGTGGAGCTACGCAAAAGCCACCGCGATTGCTGACGTTCGATCAGAATCACACCATTTAATATGCACGAATTGAAGCATGTACAAACCCCCAGATGGAGCACAGTTGTGGAAGCCGCCGAATACCACCTTCGACGACCAGGTTAGTGCGATTGCAGATCAAGAACGACAGTGGGGGATGCAGATTCCCACACTGTTAGCTCCAACTTGCTGGTAACCCCCCATTTGTCTAGACTGGGCAAGACTGGGCTCCTTCGCCATCGCTGCTGCTGCTGTTAGCACTAGTACGAACTCCGGCGTGTAGCCAAATGAACAACAACAAAAACAAAACCGCATTCAAGAGCTTGCCAAAGGCAGGCACCGAAGCTACACATTTTGCTGCAGCAGTGCCCAGTTGAGAGGCTACTCTATTGTGTCCATATTCTCAGTACCTCTGGATCCTTCCCTCCACAGCTTATAATCCCACGATGCCATGGACTTGTTGCAATTTTTTTCACATACCATGCACGTCCACCGATGCGAGAGTTATTGCAGATGTTGTCAGCGCAATAATGTGGTGATGCAAAACCTGATTGTTGAGGATGTCTAACATGTGATGTGTCTTTTCAACAAGGCTTGTTTTACTCCCTTGTGTGGATTGAAGGAATTCGTGAATGAATGTTTGTTTTTGGTGTGAATTTGTTGAATGTCCCATATACCAAAAGCAGCTTTGACTTATCCAGCATTTAACTAAGACATTGGAAGTGCCTTCCCTTACCTTCCGGCACATTCTTCTTAGCAACAGAATGTTATTCATCTAAAATAACATCTTAGTAACATGGTATCAAAGTTGGATGAAAAGTAATATAGATGAATATCATTGGATTGAGTGTGCATAAAATGGATGTTTTTATGGATGAAAATTTAGATGATATACTAGCTACTAGAGTTCCATTGTTGTTAGAATGCTATTGAAGCAAGGTGTGTCTAATGGATCAACTAAGAAGACTACCATGTCGAGTGCTTGTGGATTGCAATTCTATAGAAAATTACATCTCAACAATAATTGCTAAACGACTTGGGATTAAAGCAAAGGTGATCAAAGGAGAGAGTATATACCTAGCAGATGAACAAAAGAACATGTTGAGCAAGACAAGTGAAGAAGAAATCCTAAGACTAAGTGACACCTATGCCTTGATGGAGAAGTTTACAGTAACAAAGCTTAGATATGATATTATCCTTGGTATGCCATGGCTAGAGGTGGAAAATAAATATGTCAATTGGCTAGCAAGAACAATCTCTTTTAAGGATGGAGGATGCATGGTGATTCTTCATACCTCTATATTGAGTGGGATAGCAAAATGATCTGCGGCCTAGAGCTTACTTGTAGGAATGACCTTCATGAAGAAACAAATACGGCATAAGCAACTGATAAATGTGGTGGTTCCAAATTTTATCTCAATCTTAGAAAAGACAACCAAAAGAACAAAAAGAATAGAACAACTCATACATGAATATTGAAATGTCTTTTAAACTAACTTATCCATTAGACATATTTAATCGATGAACTTTTAAGCATGTACCAATCAATAGATCAAATTTTAAGCAAAGTACCAAATGTGTCAAATAGATCAACTTTTAAGCAAGGTATGTCTAATGGATCTAGTAGCATTGCCGTATTACGTGCTATCTTGCTTGAGAATGCACCAAACCTTTGGCTGTGGAAGATAAAATAATGTTTTGTAAGTATCCAGGTAGGCTAGTGGGTTTCAACCATCTAAATACAAACTATTTCGGATTTCAATATAAAAGCTTAATCCCAATACAAAGTGCTTAGAAATACTATTTTTAATAACTTCAAGATATTATAAGCACAAAATCTTTTGTTATTTGTTAGTTTTATTTTTATTTTATTTTATTTTATTTTATTTTTTCTAACCCTAACTCTAGACAACGAGCTTCGACAAGCTGTAATTCTCAATCTGACTATCCGATTGTTGTAAACTTCTACCACTAATGTCTTTGTAAGCCTTCTAAATGCTTAAGAAGTTTCAATCCATTCCAACTTACAGATTGCAAGAAAATACCGTAAATCCACACTGATGTATCTTGACCGCCGCCTAGAAGTCCTCGACTTATCACACCAAAAGTCATCTTATTCCAGCTGGTAGATCTCCAGATATTACAGAAATCTTAAACAATCCCAATCTGCTAACTTCCGATATCTCTTTACACTAACTTTTGTATGCACTCGGTATACTCAACCCTCTAGACACCTCTAAATTTCAACCGCAAAAGTTTCTCCAATTTCACAAAATACTCAAGAGTACCATCTTTAACTTTATTGCAAAAAAAAATCCCAATTCACCAATATAAACACTGACTTTCAGCAACAATTGCCAAAGTCCTCCCAAACCCTATGAAACCCAATTCTACCTTTTTCGAAGGAGCTTGAAGCTAGCTCTCTGATCCCAAAATTCCTATCTCTGAATGCCCTCTTTTTTTTCCTCTCCTTTCCTTTAACTCCATGAGGTCTCCTATTCTTCCGCCCTGGACTCCGAATTGGAATAACAGACCAGCCTTCACGGAATTCCCACCTCTAAGAAGATCTTTCCATGGAAAGGACGTTTCTCCAAAACGACATAGAGAACGGAATAGCTTAAAATGGAACCAAAGCCTCCATATTTGGAACCTCATTGGATTGCCCAACCAAATTAGGTCTCATACTGGGTAAGAGGCCCATAATAGGACCTGGATTGGATGTCTCCATAATTGGGTCAAATTGGCCCTTCACATCAAACTCACTCGAATATTGAATTGGTCCTTTCTCCTTTTGCCGACTCCTAATAAGAATGGCTCGGACTCATTCCACCTGATTTATAGGAGAATCTTGAGGACCTCAATTTATTCTTTCAATTTTTCTCTAGCTTTTGATTTCCTGATCCCGATTATTGAAATTGAACAGAGCATTACATTGCTGATAAGTATGCCTTGACTGCTTACTATTCTTACACACTGGTGCGTAATTGTCATTGGCTCTAGGATTGGAACATTCACTAGCATAATCACTATTCTGTCTGCAACGGAAACAACAAAGTGCTCTTCTTACACCCTCATCAGGCATATTGGGTGTTTCCATCGATATATACCTACTAGGCTTGTTCCATGTAGGGTTAGAAAATAATCCTGGTTGTCCCGTTGGTATGGAGGGTACTTGGTTCGATGACGCCGATGGAACATACGTTGTTGTCACGTTCGGTGGTACAGCTGCAATGGGGTGACATTAACTGGCCTCTAAATATTGGCACTTGAATTGGCCAGTGTTTCTAACATCCAAGATGACTAAATATTAACAAATCTTTTTCATTTATATTTTCACCATATAGTCATGTTGCAACACGACAGCATGGCATTTAATCGAGGTACCTTTTTCCAAATAGAACTAATGTTTGGGACCAAACCAGTAAGTTGACCAATTTATTGTCTAATACCAAATAAACTTGAAGAATTGCAAAAGTTTTTAGATGAATTCTTAGAGAAGGACCTCATTCGAGAAAGCATGTCTCGATGGAGAGTATTTATACTCTTTACATCCAAAAAAAGATAGTAGACTTTGACTTTGCATCAATTATTGGGGCTTCAATAAGTAGACTGTCAAAAATGTACATCCACTTCCATATATGGATGATCTTCTTGACCAACTTTGAGATGCAATTATCTTTAGTAAACTAGACCTTTGGAGTGGTTATTAGCAAACTCCTATTGCCAAAGAAGATATAGAAAAGATGACATTTTGTACACGCTATGGACATTTTGAATGGCTTATATTAACTTTCAGCCCCACCAATACTCCAACTTCTTTATGAATTGTATGAACAGATTATTTTGGGACCTTTTAGATAAGTATGTAATTGTTTTCATTAATTATATCTTGATCTATAGTAAAATTCTTCAAGAGTATGAGCAACATCTACGAAAAGTGTTGCATCGACTATATGACAATTGCTTCTATTGCAAGCAATCAAAGTATGAATTTTGGAAGTTGCACATCACCTTTTCGAAGCATATAGTGTCCTCTAAAGGCATGCACATGGAACAAGACAAGGTGAAATCAATGGAGGATTGGTCAAATTTCAAAGATGTTTATAAAGTTCGTTCATGTTAGATATTATTGTCATTTTGTTTGGTGATTTGTATACAATTTTACCTCACTAATAAGGTTAATGGAGAAGGATACCTCATTTGAATGGAAACTAGAACAAAAAAATGCCTTCAAGGACTTGAAAGAGGTACTACTTACTACTCCAATATTGCAATCATATAATTCCAACATTATTACTTTCATCTTTGACCAGATTAAATTCATTATAATTACTTTCAACTTGTATTTATCAACTTGCACAAAGATGAAAGTAATTATAATGATTTTAGATATATTTGATGTAAGTAATTTTTTTTAGTGTTATAAGTTGTTATCTCCAGAATGCAAAAGTATTTTTGCGTGGGCTTTGACATCTTTCAGACTTCAAGCATGTTGTTTTAAATTAGATGTATTGGCTGCAACCTCAAAGCCATTAACTACTATCCATAATTCTACTCCACTTAAGAGAGCATCCAAATTAATACTCCAAGTGCAATAATTAATTCCATAAAATGAGGGAATTAATAGAGTGCAAGAAGAATTATGAAAAGCGATAGTGGATGGAGTTTTGTACTTACACTAAAAGAAATGAAGGATTATTAGTGCTTTGATACTATGTAAGAGAAAGAACACTAACAATGATAAAATAAAACATAAAATGTATTAATACAATAACTTGATTACATCATATTCATAAGACCCTTTTATATTGTCTTATGGAGTGAAGTAGTAACTTTCGTAGTAGTAGTAATAATAATAATAATAATAATAGCACTTGCAAGTATATTCTTTCTTTTCTTTCTTTCTAGGTATTTCACGATTCTCACTTGTTATGTATTTAATTAATAATAGAGAATAAATAAACAAAAGGTAGGGAAGAAAAGAAGAAGTGGCCGGATGATGGGAATGGAATGAGAATCTGATTAACATTATCTCTGCTTGCTCTGCCAATTGGGTGTTTCGTTTGCTTCGGTTCTCATTCGTTCTGATCCTTGCAATCATTGCACATGGCACCAACATTGAAAGGTTCGGACTAAGGATCCTAGGTTTCTTCCGGGTTTTTGTTTTCTGCAACACCGTTCCTGGCTGTTCTACCTTTTTTGTTGTCTGTGGCGATCCTGCTTCGGAGTGTGCTGCGATCAAGGCTGGTGGCTGCGGAAGCTCCTGTTGTCAACGTGATCTGGTTTCCGTACTTCTTCCGTTGGTCTATGGTTAGAGGGCGAGTGATACGGGTGTTCATGCTAAGGTGGTAGTTTTCGACGGCGCCTTGTTGCTCTATTGTTGTTATTGCGCCGCCGCCTACCACTGGAGTGTCGACGGGTTCCCTTTTGGGGTATGTTTTTTTTTCTCCCTTTTTCCAGCTTCTGCTTCGAATCGTGTTGCTGTTTGATGTAGTCGTGCATCGAGCTGGTGCTCGGCCTATGTTCTTCTTCATAGTGTGTGAAGGGGCGTTGGATGGTGCTGGTTGCACTGTGGTGGAAGCATCAAGTGTTTGACTGTGTCTCATGATTCTGTTCCGTTTGGTGCTCTCTGGTGGCGCTTCTTTTTTCGGGTTGGTGGTCCAGTGGCATTGAGGATTGTCGACGCTTTCTTGTTGCTCGCCTCGTCGTTTTCGCCTGGTGATTCTTCGGTTCTGTTCTTCACCATCTTGTTGTAGGCCAAGGCCGTTTGATGCCACTGTTGCGGTTGTGGCTGCAAATTCGACTGCTTCACCGACTGTACTCCTTGAAGTCATGGCTGCTGCTGCAAGTTCTTGAAGAGAGTAGTGGACGTTTAGGTCGTGGTTGGTAGCTGTCGGGGAAATTGCGGAATTTGTTATCCGCCGACCCGCGTTTTTGTCGCCGTGGATGCTGGAGGATTAAGTCATGCGGTGCAGAGCCGTCAATTTTGGCTGGTGGTCGACTTAATCCGGCTCTTGTTGCTGTGCTCGTTCGTCTCCGACTGTTTTTGGGCTCCGGTGTTGTTCGACTCTCGCTGAGTTTCCAATCATCGTCGTCGCCTATAGTCGGCACTCTCGGTGGACTGGCGGGGTTGGCAGGTATTGTTGAATGGGAGAAATGATGTTCTGCAACTAGTAGGCGGACGCGAGTTCGCTGGTGATGTGGGTCTTAATAGCAGATATCGATGCTTAAATTTGGAGATGTGACTGTGTCAGCGAAAAGTTGAGCAAGTAAGGTTCCCTACCGACAATTGCAGAGAGGCAACGTTGTTCAGAATTCAGTGTTGCAAGGGTGTTCGAAATGTAGTACCGATTTGTTAGTGCTGATGAGGTAAGGTGGTTGTTCATTAAAACACAAAATTGTGGTGTATGGAAGGTCCTCGTGAGGCAGGCATTGAAGTTGACAGCGTAGTGAAAAATTTATGTAAGCAGCTTGGTTGTCGATAGAACCGTCGGCTTCGCAGAAGAATTTCATGTGAGCAGGTAGCATCTGGAGTTCGGATGGCTTCCTGTGATACTCATGGTTTCGTAACAAATATGATACTATTATCATCCAGCAGCCCTCTTTTCCATATCCCGAGTTTCTGTTGCAAGTCATCTTCGCCTACCCAGTTTCATTTCTGTGAAGGGTTGTAAAGATTGGTGGCAGCTTTGCCAACCCACTTTCATTCCTGTGAAGGGTTCTGAAGATCGAAGGACTTTGAGCCGCCAGTGGGTCGGCGAGCAATTCCATTTCTTCCTGCACAACTGCTATCGCTGCTACTCCAGGCTCGTTTTCGACATCTTCCACATTGCGGTGAGACTTCCAGATTGGATGAATTGTTGGATTGGATGACTAATTGAGTTGGATATAGTTAGGTTAGGAATTTGATCAACCCATGTGGATGAACAACTTGAATGAATACTCAGGTGTGGGTGAATTCTTATTGTTAGATGACATCTCATTTATGGATGAAGTTTTGTATAAAGATGAATGCTTGTCAATGGATGAGAATATCTAAATTGAGTGATGATGGAGGTACGATTTTTTATTTTGGTTGCTTGTGTTAGGTTGGGCTAAATTGAGGGAGTAAAAAAGTTAGGCAATAATTGCAATTCATTAGATATTAAAATTTGGTGAATTATTGCATGGTTGAAAAAGCAACCATTAGTGTGGTAATATTTATTTTGTAAGAATCTAATCTAGTTTTTCATAAGTCAAATACTAATATTTGATGTGTGCATTTTTCCATAAGTCAAATACTAACATTTGATACGTGCATCTTCAATAGGGAACAAGACTATTTCTTAGTAATAAATTTGAGCATCCTAAAGTATTACTTACCAATTCTTCTTTGAATTATGGCTAGATTGGATCCTACAATTCATACTTCAAAATCAATGTTGCCAAATGTTAGTGGTGTGGGTAATGTTCTTTCCACTACAAAATCAATGTCTTGAGTTCAAAATGGTTTGAATACCTTGGTTGCATTATTGTGCTTTTTATAATACAGGTAGTGTATTTTTCTACACGCATGTTTTTGGTTTTTTCTAGTTATAAGTAATGTTGTGCTAGTCTTTACAATGTCTTTTTGATTGTATTGACCACCATATGATTTAATATTGGTCCATGGTTATGGAATACGTGTAGATCATACTCTTGGTAGAGTTGTATCAAGTAAATATTCAGAGTTGCAGTTGTACTTAAAAATTGCAATGAAATCCGTGGAAAAAGTCCAAGAGTTAACTTCTCAAAGAGAGGCAACAAATTTGCCAAAATTCAACAAAGAGAAATGTGAATATTTAGCTTGTATACTCAAGCTTGCCATTAAGAGTGCTAGTTCATTCTTTTACGCCATATGCCATCGAAAAAACATTCCTAAGGAAGCTTTGGCAAGTTGTGTGGGTAATTTCAAGCTATTTGCTACAAAGGCAAAAGAAATTGAAAGTTTTATCCAAGATTGATGCAAAAATGCATGGGTTGAGGTTGCCATCATATTGACAAAAGTAAAAGAGCATGTTTCATCAATATGCTTTAATTTGGAATTATGTAGACTTACATTTTTTGACCATGAGTTTAGAGCACCACTAAGCAAAACCTGGACAGAACTTGTTGACAAAATTGAAGAGATCAATTGCATTGAAGCCAAGATTGTGCAAGAAAAAGCATTTCAAGATGAAGAGGCATTCTAAAAAAAGTCGATTTGGAATTGAAATCATTGAATGGTAAGGAGAAAGAGTTAGCTTACATTTTGCTTGAAAGACTTAAAAGCACATCGATTGCATCTTCTCGAAACCCATTGAAGGGAGAATTGAACAAAGTGAAGCAACACAACCAAATAGGAAAAGGTGCATCTGCAACTGGGTACTCGAGCTTGATAACATTGCCAAATGAATTGGGCAACCTCACATCTTTGACTTCCTTAAATTTAAGTGGGTGCTTGAGCTTGATAACATTGCCAAATGAATTAGGCAATTTCACATCTTTGACTTCCTTAAATTTAAGTGGGTGTTGGAAGTTGATATCATTGCCAAATGAATTGGGCAATCTCACATCTTTGAGTTCCTTAAATTTAGTTGAGTGTTGGAAGTTGACATCATTGCCAAATGAATTGGGCAACCTCACATCTTTGACTTCCTTAAATTTAAGTGGGTGTTGGAAGTTGACATCATTGCCAAATAAATTAGACAACATCACATCTTTGACTTCCTTAAGTTTAAGTGGGTGCTCAAACTTAACATCATTGTCAAATGAATTGAGTAACCTCACATCTTTGACTTCTTTAAATTTAAATGAGGTTTAGAAGTTGACATCATTGCCAAATGAATTGGGCAATCTCACATCTTTGACTTCCTTAAATTTAAATGGATGCTCGAACTTTACATCAGTGCCAAATAAATTGGGCAACCTCACATCTTTGACTTTCTTAAGTTTAAGTAAGTGCTCAAACTTGACATTATTACCAAATGAATTGGGCACCCTTATATCTTTGACTTCCTTAAGTTTAAGTGGATTCTTGAACTTGACATCATTGCCAAATGAATTAGGCAACCTCACATCTTTGACTTCCTTAAGTATAAGTGAGTATTGGGAGTTGACATCATTGCCAAATGAATTCGGCAACCTTACATCTTTGACTTCTTTAAATTTAAGTTGGTGCTCAAGGTTGACATCATTGTCAAATAACTTGGGCAACCTCACATCTTTGGCTTCTTTAAGTTTAAGTAGGTGCTCGAACTTGACATCATTGCCAAATGAATTGGGCAACCTCACATCTTTGACTTCCTTAAATTTAAGTGGGTGCTTGAGCTTGATAACATTGCCAAATGAATTGGGTAATTTCACATCTTTGACTTCCTTAAATTTAAGTGGGTGTTGGAAGTTGATATCATTGCCAAATGAATTGGGCAACCTCACATCTTTGACTTCTTTAAATTTAAGTGGGTGCTTGAGCTTGACATCATTGCCAAATGAATTGGGCAACCTCACATCTTTGACTTCCTTAAATTTAAGTGGGTGCTTGAGCTTGATAACATTGCCAAATGAATTGGGCAATTTTACATCTTTGACTTCCTTAAATTTAAGTGGGTGTTGGAAGTTGATATCATTGCCAAATGAATTGGACAACCTCACATCTTTGAGTTCTTTAAATTTAGTTGAGTGTTGGAAGTTGACATCATTGCCAAATGAATTGGGCAACCTCACATCTTTGACTTCCTTAAATTTAAGTGGGTGTTGGAAGTTGACATCATTGCCAAATGAATTGGACAACCTCACATCTTTTACTTCCTTAAATTTAAGTGGGTGTTGAAAGTTGACATCATTGCTAAATAAATTGGACAACCTCACATCTTTGACTTCTTTAAGTTTAAGTAAGTGCTCAAACTTGACATCATTGCCAAATGAATTGGGCAACCTCACATCTTTGACTTCCTCAAGTATAAGTGAGTGTTGACAGTTGACATCATTGCCAAATGAATTGGGCAACCTCACATCTTTGACTTCCTTAAGTATAAGTGAGTGTTGGGAGTTGACATCATTGCCAAATGAATTCGGCAACCTTACATCTTTGACTTCCTTAAATTTAAGTTGGTGCTCAAGGTTGACATCATTGTCAAATAAATTGGGCAACTTCATATCTTTGGCTTCTTTAAGTTTAAGTGGGTGCTCGAACTTGACATCATTGCCAAATGAATTGGACAACCTCACATCTTTGACTTCCTTAAATTTAAGTGGGTGTTAGAAGTTGACATCATTGCCAAATGAATTGGGCAACCTCACATCTTTGACTTCCTTAAATTTAAGTGGGTGTTAGAAGTTGACATCATTACCAAATGAATTGCACAACCTCACATCTTTGACTTCCTTAAATTTAAGTGGGTGTTGAAAGTTGATATCATTGCCAAATAAATTGGACAACCTCACATCTTTGACTTCCTTAAGTTTAAGTGGGTGTTCAAACTTAACATCATTGCCAAATGAAAAGGATCAACCTTTCATCTTTGACTTTCTTAAATTTGAGTGATTGCCCAAGGTTGACATCATTTCCAAATGAATTGGGCAATCTCACATCTTTGACTTCCATAAGTATAAGTGAGTATTGGAAATTGACATCATTGCCAAATGAATTGGATAACCTCACATCTTTTACTTCCGTAAATTTAAGTGGGTGCTCAAACTTGACATCATTGCCAAATGAATTGGGCAACCTCACATCTTTGACTTCCTTAAGTTTAAGTGGGTGCTCAAACTTCACATCATTGCCAAATGAATTGGGCAACCTTACATCTTTGACTTCCTTAAGTTTAAGTGGGTGCTCAAACTTGACATCATTGCCAAATGAATTGGACAACCTCACATCTTTGACTTCTTAAAATTTAAGTAGGTGATGCAAGTTGACATCATTGCCAAATGAATTGGGCAACCTCACATCTTTGACTTCCTTAAGTTTAAGTGGGTGCTCGAACTTGACATCATTACCAAATGAATTGGACAACTTCACATCTTTGACTTCCTTAAGTTTAAGTTGGTGCTTGATCTTGACATCATTGCCAAATGAATTGCGCAAAAGAAAATTCTACTACCTATGGCATGTTGGAAGGATGAACCTTTGTTGATACGGTAGTTGATGAGGTTACGCAGCATGGTGTTTGCTGCATCTGGACCCAGCTTACTTGCCAACCATGCAAGGACCATGTTTTTACAATCAACTACTACATGTTGTTTACTTGACGTTTACATAATTTCAAGAGGATTCAATAGGAGTACACTAATTCAACGATAATATCATTGTAAAATACTTGAAAAGACAAAAGGTGGTATGTATGCAAATATTGAGGAGTTCAATTCACGAGATTTTAAGGGTTGATACAAATACGTGGACAATACAAAAAAAAAAAAAAAAAAAAAAAAAAAAAAATGCATGAATGTAGCTTTATATTATATGTTGATCCTCAAAAACCTTCATTATGGATATATAACTTGAGAACCACTTAGATTTTAAGCAAAACACGTTCTTAGTGTAATTGGTTGGAGGAAGAAGGAAATTATGACTGAGGTAGTTTAAGGACTCAAAACTAAAGAAACTCTAGATGAAGCTACCATGAATCCAACCCACATACGTTCAATTTCAACAATAGGTCTTTCAAAATTAACATTTAAACTTGTAAAAATGTAATGCAGGTGTTGACATGCTGGAATAAGGAACAATCGCACAAGGAAGCAGAGGTCAGAACCTCGTGGTACAGCACTGCCATTCAATTGATCTGTATCATCCATAAGTTGCCCAGCCATTTGAATGGCTATGTCCATGACCCGTGATTGAAAAATAGGTTCTTCAGTGCACTCCTTTAAAGGGTCCACCGAATGGCATGCATCCAATAACTTAGTAGTATTTATCATCTCTTCCAGTTGGCTAACTTTGGTAATTGGACATAAACCACTGGTAAGATTGGTAGATTGAGTAGTACAAAGATTTCCCAAAGATGTGTTGGCTCCCAAACTAGCCATAAGATTTTGGGTGTGTGAAAAGTAATATTCAGCTTCTGTAACATTGAGCCCAAGATTGCCCGAGTTTAGGCTGTATTGACCCAGAGAGACTTGAAAAAGGCTCTCAAGTTGTGGGCAACAGATGACACTTCCAACATAGAGCACTAGTGGAGTTGAACAATTTCTAGCAGTTCAAATAAGAGTCCCTTCTAATGTTGAAAAATTAAAAGGACAAAAATCTATGGAATAAATCCAAAAAATACTCGGATTGAGATTCTAATGTTCAACACATTTTGGGCAAGAACTATTCGATTCCAACAGTGAGCATCACTTGTGTTCATGACCCAAGGTAACAGCTAAAGTAGTTGATAATCTAGATAATTATTTGATTTGATAGTTCAAGCGTAGATGGATTGATTATGATTGGAATCTCTCGTGGAGAGAGAGCCATGAATGGAAAATTTCCTAATAGAGCTTCTACAAGCTCCGAAGCTAGAGGTGACGAAGTTGGAAAAGGTGTTAGAGTGTTCAAGTTTTAGGGTCTAGGTTTTAGGATTTTGTTTTTGTAATCTAAATCATTTTAAATTTAGAATAAATAATATTAACAAGGACACAAGTAAAATTAAAGAAGCATAATTTGTAACTTTCCTACCAAATAAAAAATTCTTCAAAGGATTATAGTCCATCATTTTTTTTAAATTAATTTTTAAAATTATAAATCTTAATTTTAATGGTGGATAGTTTTCTTTATTTAAAGTACTAAAAATATTTCTTTAAATTATCTTTTTACTTCTTAATCTTGCCTTCATTTATACTAGCTACAATAAATATTTTGTATAAGCTTTTTAAAGACCACAAGGCTTATAGTTCAAGCATCAAGTTGAAGATTATTTCTAAGTCAACTTTCTAAAATTCAAAAACTCAATAGAGAAGTTTCAATAGCTACATGGCATAACTATAGGAATCTAAATTTCAAATCTCTATCCAAAAATATTCTTTAAAGTTTCTCAAAGAAGATATTATCTATTCCACATATTTTACCTACTTCTGCCAACTTCTATTTACTTAAGTAATATAGGTAGCCATTTTAATCTCTAACTTAAGAATACTCAATAAGACTTGATAATTAATACAACAGTACTTTGATATTAACTGTTAAAATATTAAGATAAGAGCAAATAAATTTTTTTTTAAATACATTTATAATCTCTAAAGATTTTTAGTTAATAATATTTTTTATTTAGTATTTATAAAAATAATTATGAAATAAATATTATAGAATTTATTATATGTAGTATTTTATTCATAAGATTTTGGTACTATTGATTCTAAAATATAATAAATATAATTTCATTAATCTTTACATAAATTATTATAAGTTATGTAAAAATCTATGTATTTTATAACTCCAATATAGTATATTTGATTATAAACTCTAATCAAAGATATGTATCAAGCTAAGAGCTAATGAAATATATATATATATATATATATATATATATAGCATGGCAGCCATTCAACATTTTCACTACCATGGAAATCAAAACATTATGTTTAGATATGTTACAATTGTTTTAGTTTATTTTAAACAAATATTTTATATGTAGAGCATCAAGATCATGAAGTTGAAGTTGTGATTCAAGAATTCTTGAGGATCCATTGTTGAAAAGGGTTGCCATACTCAGAAGATGTTTTCTATGGCCTCTACAAAGTAGATTTTATTTTGTGAAAACAATTGTCATGTTGTGAGTACATTGCAACCAACTACGCAAGAAAAAAAAGTATTTCATATTTCCTTCTTTTTGTGTTATCATGCAACAAGATTACTTAATAGTAGTTTTCTCTTAGTTCTTTAATTTACTAGCTATGCTTTAAGAATGCCATGTTTTTAAAGAAACTTGGCTTCATATAATAGGAGCTGCAACATCTCTATTGTAAAACATCAACAACATGAGCATCAACTGATGCAAATTACTTCAGTAACTACAATCGAGCGAGGCATGAATAGCCTTTGGGGTGGACATCATTGACTCATGGCTTTGAGTGCATCTATGATTCCAAAAAATCTAAGAATACATCTCATGCTGTACAATGGCAGTGTATATTAAGTATTCCTACAAGCTGAGCAGCATATCCGTAATTTTCTCCTAATCTTGAATAATTTCAAATTTAGGCTAATAGAAAGACACTCATTGCACATGCCACCAATAATTTCAGAATTGAAAGGTCCATACAAAGGAAACAATTGACCATGGTACCAATTCCATGATATAACACTAAGTCCATCTCTATTTTGTACTTGTAGATCCAAATTCAGAGCTAGTTTGGAAGCCAATTATTTGTATATTGAAGTTTATACCTAGCTTGAATCCTAACCAAGTATAATCAACAAAAAAATAAAAGATAAACACCTAAGGGGGATCCAAAAGATGGTGTCAATAAAAGCTTACTAAGTTCTTATGAAAAAGAACCTAGCTTGAAATTGAGTACTTGGTCTAAAAAGGCTAAAGAAATTGATGTCGCTTTGTAATGAATTTAGGAACTATTTTTCTAAGTCATTGTGTCAAGGTTAGCTTTCATCATCTTTTTTAATGCTTCATCATGCATATATTCATAGATTATATGTTGCAAAAGACTGAAAACATAAATATCATGTAAAGATGGACAATGTGGACGAATTTAATCCTACATGCTTAGAAACAAAACAAATCTTCACTAACCTTTAAAATCCAATTTTTGAGATTCTGATTTACTTAAATCTTAATTAATTTTTTTTTAGTATATTTTTTAATTGAATTCAAATTTACAATACACATTTAGCACATATATCTTCACAAACCTACAAAAAATTACTTATAGATTTGTTACAAAACTTACACAATTCACCAAAATAATAATCTCTTTTTTATTCAATATATAATAAATTTAGTTAAAATAATCTAAACTTTCTAAATTTGTTACAAAGTCAATATGAACTTAATTTCTCAAAACTAATGTTTAAAGTTTTTTAAAGTTTTTTAAAGTTTTTTTTTTAAAGTTTTGTCTTAAATATTGTTTTTTAATCAACAAACAAATCCCACACTTGTTGTAGGTGTGTGGTGTTGTACCATAAGGACTAACTTTGACCATATTTCAACATCAACCTTCTCTAAATATCAATCTAGGACTTTGATGGAAATTTTTTTTCAAAACTTCTCTTTATTTTTACCTAAAGATGCTTATTTGACTTATTTTTTATCCTATAATATAAATAGAAGCCATTTTTATCAAAAAGAAGAATTAATTCTAAAATATTTTAGAATCTTATTAATTTTTATTTATATATCTAAAATATATTTTTATTATAAGATCTTATATAATAAAATCCTTCCATTTATCTTTCATCTTAAAGTCTATATTACAATATAAAATTATTTCTTTATTTGTAATAAGTTTTGTATAAAGAAAAAATTATATAATTTTATTTACATAATTGACTATTATAAAGTAAGATGTAAGAATTTGATAATTGAAATTTGTAGAAAAAAGACCATTAAAAAAAATCATTGAAGGTTTTTAGAAATACATAGAGGTTGCAAAGTCTATAGAAATGATAATGTAGAGTCTTTATTCAAAAATAAGTATTACAATATTGAAAAAATTTATTTATCTTTTTTATATTTGATGCCTCCAAGCATCTCTATAAATAATCTCTAAAGTTAAATTGTATTTAAAATATTATGGTTCTAAAAAGTCATGTTATACTTGCAATGCACATAATAGTACTTAATCCTTTAGGTTATAAAAACTTCTTTCAAAATAAATAATTATCTTTAAAATCATATTTTCTAGAATCATTATAATTCTAATTTTTTAACACCAAGAATAAAAGAAATTTTAAAAAAAATTAGATAATTTTTATTAATAAAAGTTTTGCCATCTAAAATTCTTATAATAATAGATGAAAGATATAGCTACTTTGATTTTAAAAGAACATTTTGTTGTAAATCATATGCGGCTCCTCTTTTTTTCAATACAAGACAAGAATGTCTAGACAAGGCATTTTAAAAGCTCTATTCTTTTTCAAAAAATTACATTAATATAAATACAAATCATAACAAAGACATATTCCAACAACCTTGATAATAATTTAAAATATATTTTGATATAAAATACTTATAATTTATGTGATTGATTAAATAAAAAGCTATTTTTAAGTTAGAATTCTATCATTAAAACGAATTCATAAAAACTAGAATTTATTATTGTACTTTTTAATCTTGGTTTTTGAAAAGTTTTAAGAATGAAAAAAATAGAATTAAATCTATCTATATTCAATTATTATAGAATTATATTTAATACAAAGTTAGATATATTTATCTTAATTAAAATATTTGAAGAAATTTAGACAACATAAAATAAAAGTTAAAATGAAAGTTATTTTTCAAAATTCTTATGATCATTATATTCAACCTGGTCCAAGATGAAAGTAACAACAGTATTCTATTTTCTTTTACTCAATCTTATCTTTCTTGTTCCATTCCATTTAATTACTTTTAGTTTTGTTCTAATGAGTTTGGTCTTATGTTGTGTCAAAATCTTTGTTGTTATGAAATTAATAAGGTTTTAGATCTTAGAGAATCCAGTCCTATTTCAATGATCCTAAGTCAAGTTATGATTTTTTTTTATAACAAGAATAAATTATTCAATAAGAAAATAATTCCTTAAGAAAAAATTGAAGATGTAGATTATAGAAATAATCTTTATATATTAGATTTCAAACATCCAAATGAATTAGACATATTCCAATCTCAAGCCTCAAGATTATATATGCATAATGGATTGGATAGAAAAATGGTTGAATAGAAATCAAACTTTATACCAATAGAAGTAGTGGAATTCCATAAACTAAAAGTGGAAGCAATCACTCAAGCTCTATCACCAAGATGTCATTATGTAAGTGAAATTGACTTAGAACTTTGAAATCCTTATGAAATGTAAGAATGAATATGAAGAGTGCTACAACATAAAAGATCTTAGTGAATTTGGTAATTTTCTTTATATTGATTTTTTGCAAGATAAGAAAAATGGTACTATTAATTTGAGTCAAACTAGGTACATTTGTCAAAATTTGGAGGAATTTGAGATGAAAGATGCAAAGGCAATTGCTACACCAATAGTACAAAGTGATATTATTAAATATAAGAATGATGATCTTTAGATTTAGATAATATAAAGCATTATTAAAAAGTTTTAGGTTCATTATTGTATCTTGTAAATGATACAAGG